ACCAGTGGCAGCCGGAAACACCTGCTGCTGTGGGGGCTGCTGGGAAGTAGAGTCCAGCTGCTGCGCCACCCCAGCCCCGCCAAGCACCCAGAAGCAGTGGGACTAGCCACACATACTCTGGCCCAGGCTACACGCCACGGCTGGGCCAGGCACAGCCAAAGGACCCACCACAAGCTGGACAGAATCCCTTGGCACACCAGATCTGACCCACAGGCCATATTTTGCCTACCCGTCTCAGACCCATGCCTCATTAACTGGATCAGAAGAAACTAACCACTGAGCAAGCTTCACCACCTTCCTAGATTCATTTTGAACCAGAAAACTATAAAACCTAAAAGGCACAATAGCCAGTTACTAACCCCCAAAGCTATCTAAGTCCATGCTTCCATAAACATTTGTCTAATGGTACAAATGTCCAACACAAGATCAATTCAACAACAGCTCTGGTCTGAAACAGACCTACCCTATATTAAAGGTCCCTTTCAATTTTACATTTGGCAAATAAGGATACATGCACATACCCTTAAATAGGAAGCTTCTTAATTAAATTAACCTCAGGCTGCAGCATTACAGAGTTCATGGAAGGGTTATATTCCCCATGACTCCTTTTAAGATAATTAACAGTTTTCACATGGAGAGGAGTTGCATTTTTTGTCAACAACTAAAAATAAATTGGGCTATAAATCAAGGTGATGTAAGTACAAGCATCTAAGACAGAAGACACCCATGCACCACTACAGGCCTGAGACCAACTGACTAAGCAGCAGCTCTGCAGAAAAAGGACCTGGGGGTTAAAGTGGTCAATAAGCTGGATATGAGCCAACAGTGTGCCTGTATTGCCAAGAAGGCTAACAGCATACTGGGCTGCATTGGTAGGAGCATTGCCAGAAGATAGAGGGAAATAATTCTTCCCCTCTATTCTGCACTGGTGAGGCCACATCTGGAGTACTATGTCCAGTTTTGGACCCCCTTCCTTTACAGAAAGGATGTGGACACACTGGAGAGAGTCCAGCAGAGGGCAACAAAAGTGGTGAGGGGGCTGGGGGACACGACTTACGAGGAGGGGCTGAGGAAACTTGGCTTATTTAGTCTGGAGAAGAGAAGACTGAAGGGGGATTTGATAGCAGCCTTCAACTAACTGAAGGGGGGTTCCAAAGAGGATGGAGCTAGACTGTTCGCAGTGGTGGCAGATGACAGAACAAGGAGCAATGGTCTCAAGTCGCAGCTAGGGAAGTTTTGGTTAAGCATTAGGAAAACTCGCTCACTACGATTGTGGTAAAGAACTGAGACAGAGGTAGTGAGGTGGCAGAATCTCCATCCTTGGAAGTTTAAGGCCTGGCTCAACAGAGCCCTGGCCAGAATGATCTAGTTGGGGATGGTCCTGCTTTGAGCAGGGAGTTGGACTAAATGATATCCTGAGGGCCCTTCCAACCCTAATTTTCTATTATGCTAAGATCAAGAAAATGAGTAAGCTCTAAAGTAAGACAAGTTAAGAGACTGGTTCTGTCACTGCCTTCCTCTGTTATCCAGGGAAAGCAATTGAAGCCTCAGTAGTAGAAGGGTGCATCTACACAAATATTAATTGCATAGTTGACTAATTAGCTGTGCAGTAAATATCTCAGCATCTGCATATGCACCCCTACAGGCTGGAGTAAACTTATTTACTCCACAGCAGAATAATACTTGTAAATACAAGCTCTGTGCTGCTGCAAAGTGAAAAACTCCACAGCAGCACGTGTAGACGCTGGAACGGCTGGCTGGGGCATGAGGGTACTTCAGTGCATGGGCTACCTGCTGACTAGCCCCGCAATGAAGCTCCCTCATGCCCCAGCTAGTCCCTCTGCAGCATGCTAAACTGGGGGAAGCTGCTCTAGGCTGGCAGGCTGTCCCCCAAAACCCCCTGCCAGCTGAGGCTCCTCCGCCTGAGCTCCATGTGCAGCTGAACAAACTGTGGAGCTTATTGCTCTGCAGTTAATTCAGGAACCGTAACTGCATGTGTAGACAAACCCAAAGTCTCCCTTTCTTATCTTCTTGGAGTGTTATCTCCATATCAGATGCTATGCTCATTAGTACTTCAAAATCTTTGAATGGACTGTATTTGCAAAATTAGCTACACCATTGTCCAATATTTTAACTGGAGAGATTGTATTTGCACTCCTTCTAAGTGTGCATACTTGCAAGTAATTCAAGAACTAACAGCACAAAAGATTTAGTGTAATACTTTATGAACTTGCCTTCCATAGTCCTCTAGTGCCTTCTTTTCGGTAGATGCGTATAAAGTTGCCCAACATTCCTCCTTGAATCACACTGCCTTGGGCCTGCATTCTAATCTAAGGATTATTTGCAAACCAAAAAACAAGAACTTGTTAGTTTTCAACTACTAAAGTACAAAACATGTAATAATTAAACTGAAATGTTGTAATAATAAAAAAAATTAACCATTTTCAAAATATGACATGTTCCTATTAATGAAACTAACAAACTAGCTACATCATGACTATATCAGATGCCTGCAGATATGTATCAGCTATCTTTCAAGTTTAATGGCTATATATGGAACACCATATTTAGACTTGTACGCAGTGTAGCTCTTAGTAACTATGAGTGACTGCTATTTTTATACTGGTACATTAAAACATGCATCAGTCTGACAGAAGGGTTCTGCATGATGTCCTTTCTTAGTGGAACATCTCAAAGTGGAAGGTCAATGTGATCAGGTTTTCATCCGAGATAACTTATGTTCTGTGACCTTGTGGATTTCTGAGAATGAAGAGGATTTCTGAAGAATAAACTTGATTTGTGTTGTTTAGAAACAGCCAAATGGAGTATTTACACCTGATTTTAGAAGATAATCAAGTAAGCATACTTATCAGACTGGGATGAAGGCTTATTTTGTTGTCAGTTTGTAGTTCTTTATGAAATGCAAAGTTGTAAGCAATTTGCTTCATTTAATAGTATTTGGGGGAAAGTAGGAAGTACTTGTATTTCCTTAAATTACAAGCATGTAGAAAGTATATTTTTCTGACTTAATATTTTCAAATATTGCAAAATGACAGAAGCAGCCAAGTGATCTCAAGCTACAATCTTAAAAGTTAAACAGGATCAAGCTTTTTTAATACCTGGAAGGGCACCACCAAGAATAATTAAAAAAAAACCCCATGGATGCTACAGAAGTGCACTGATGATTTCAACAGGTGATACACTCTGCTCAAGTCATTAATAAATATACTGGAACACTGTTTCAAGGGGACAACTGACTGTGAAACCTTCCACAAAAGCATGAGATCCTGACCTACAGATTTTTAACCTGTACTGAACCTTTCATAATGGTTCATAGGATCCTTCCCAATCCAGACATGGCTGCATTTTCCATGGGCCTTGTATACATTTAGAATCCTTTTTAGCAGCATTCATTTCAAAGTGAATGCTTTTAGCTGGCCAACAGCCTTAGACAGAAATGCTTGGAGTTGCTGATCTTCCCATGGGAAACTCCTTACATTTCTAGATGAGTAACATGCAAAACAACAAGAACAACATCTACAGAATATAGCAAAGGACAAAACAACTTATGCTAAGAATCTATACATGATATAAAATATGCTTACCTTCAAAACATCTGTAGGATTGGCAATACATGATGAGATCACCCCCGAAAGAACACCACATACAACATTTATCAGCAGGGTTTCATCTGTTACAGAAAGGAGGAGGGTAGGGAGAAAAACAAACAGTTGCATGCTGTTATAATGTAAGAAGGCATCAAGTGCAAGACTTCAGTGAAAGAGGCAGCTGGCAATAAGTGCTTCAATTCTAGAGCAGATATTTTTATTTTCCCAGGGGGTTTAATTTGTAGAATTTTGGTTTGAGGAACAATTTTCAAAGAGAGGAAGAATTAGAGCCGATACAATAAAATACATCATATGGCTGAAATGGAAATATAAACAAGAACAGAGTGGTAACCAGAAGCTGAAAACCCACTCACCTTCTGGTCGCTCAACAAACGTTCTTTTCAAGCTTTGGTAAGTTCCTATTTTTATGGTTCCATATGAAGCCTGGCGTAGCATTGCAGGGGCAATCCTGTAAAAACAACAATAGTGGCAATGCTGCCTCAAGTCTTATAAAATCAGGCAAAGTTTTAACCAAGAATGTATAGTGGGATAGACTGAATTCAAGATGTGCACAAGAAACATATTTAAATAAACAAACTTCACCATTTTAGACCAAGTGGAAGGTTTTCAATGAAGCAAACATGGAAGCATAAGAATAAAGATTGGCTATATCACTCATTAATAAGTCCTGAGAAAACCGTGGCTAATTAAAGTGACTTCTTTAATGAACATCAGTATTGATTTAATCCCAATACCACTGGTTAATTATTAATTTGCATCTGTGAATTCCAGAAAGCATCTACTGCAAACTAATTATATGAAACATAGCCTATTTTTACCCAGAATACAATGCTTTCAATCCTTCTTCTCTGCATATCCTCACTAGTGCATGCACCATTCCTCGGTAACGAATTTCTTTGTATTTGGCATCAGTAGTTTGACCCTGGACCTGGAGGCGTGTTTTGGTCAGATCAATTGGAAAAGTACCTTAAAATGAGAAGAAGAAATCTATTAGTTTAAATAAATACCCGTCAAGCCAAAGCAGGCACATACAAGACTAAAACGTGACAGTGCGGACTACATTTTATAAACCCAACAGGTAAAAAAAACCCAAAAAAACCCAAATGTGTAGACATCTAACCACGCATACCTATAGGAGATAAAACCCAGATGTACAGCAGAAAATAACTGTATCATCAAAGAAGTTAGTGTTTCCATGTGTCCCTTCTGGCCCAGCTTCCTATAGTACCCTTTCACACTGCTCTGTTCCCCTTCAAACCATATACTCATACAGCACAGATGCTTCCAGCCTCAAGCTCCTCACCCTGATCAATATGCAATGCCAACAGGTCCTTGTGATGTACATGATCAACAAACACATCACCTTCAGCTGCATAAATGCCCACGTAGGCAAGCTGATTCGCTAAAATATAGGTTAGAAGCTAACCCTCTCGGCAGCACAGAGGCAGAGAGGGATCTTGAAGTCAGGATTGACTCCAGGATGAATACGAGTCGCCAATGCGATGAAGCAATAGGCAGAGCCAACCGCACCCTGTCCTGCATCAACAGGGGCATCACTAACAGGTCCAGAGAGGTCTTGCTC